TCATTGGCGTACACATTCCGTTTGTTTTTATAATTAGTTTTTTTCCGTATACAATAAAAAATCGAAATTAATCTCAATAACATCGTAACAACTGCAAACCGATGTTATAAATAACGTCCTAGTAACACGTATCTTATAAATACTAGATAGACTCCATTCTTAAGACAACATTAATAGAAAAAAAAAAANTAAATATTATTCTTGTGGATCCATACAATCTATAGTTTCATTTTTTTTTTACAGCGCTCAGTTGAAAAATTGAAAAAAGCGATATTACAATTAAACAAACAAAAGAATAATAGCACGAATGGCTCAAATAACGTACCAATATTAACACCTAACAAACCCAATTTTAATTTACTTATAATTCAGGAAGCCGAACAAAGAGGAAAAAGACAACATTATCTTATTGCTCAGGACAAAATATTATTCAAGAAAGCGGTACAAGAAAAAAAAATTAGAAAAACAGTTGGCCGATTTTAAACGTTTTAATGTGATACCCCTTGTAAAGGTTAAAGAAGAAGTTTAAGAAAGTAATTTTTATAAAGATCGATGGATTGTCTTGGAACAAAACATTTAAGTTTACGTATGAATGTAAAAACTAATTTGAAAGTAAAAATAAATCAACAATTTTTTGATAAAAGAAAATTTTAATTATTTTTTTACCTATCATTAAGACCTTCATCATACATCAAGTTAGATTTCTATTACATATATATTTATAGTGGAGTTGCTCTGTGTGACCAACAGAAGACTTTTCATATTTGATGTAATCTATCTTCAGTCCTTAGAACAAATTCTAAATTAATGGATAAATATGTTTTCAGTTTAACATTACATTGTTCGAATTTCAAAATCTAGAGAACATTATGGAATCAAAAATTAGCCTTATTATTTTAAAATTGCATTTTCCAATTCTATAGTCATCTTACGCTGTGTTTGAAATAACTGATATCAACCAGTAAATTAATACCCGTAAATGGAAAAATTTTTTCTACAATTGTAGTGGCTTCATTAGTATGTGAGTTACGTTTGGTCATACCCGGCCGCCGCTCACTGGATCTTTTGTGTTTTTTCCTTTTCGCGAATTTCTTTTTGACTCCTCCTAATATACCTAAATTTCATACATTTGATGAGAACACTCTTAAGAAAATCAAAAGATGGCCCGTCTAAGATACTTTCCTACACCAATTTACTTTCAGAAAAGGTTCTATCATTTAAAATCGGAGCAAGGTTTCTGAACAATTAGAATCGGTTTAAAATTAAAATTTTGAATTTCGGACCATTTAAATAATATACTTATTACAACACTTCAGTCGACACATTCATTGATTAATTTTTTTTTTTATATTGACATTTATTTATGTATACATTTCTTTACGAACGTTAACCATTTTAATAATTTCGTTTGTACTTAATTATTTTATTACTTAAATCGTATTTTACTGCCAAACATTTTTATAGTTATAGTTAAATATTATAGTATTTTTTTTCTACATTTTTATTTTTCTATCAGTCAGAACCAAGAATACACTAAGAATACTGAATTACTTTATATTTAAACTAATGCCTACACAACTATTTGATTATCAATTTGCAAGCCCCTCACTTTGAAAATGCCTGCATACGCCACTGTTCTATTATATCATATATTTTTGCATTCGTGTTAGGTTAGGTGAGGTTTTCATCCATGTTACTAAGGTACCCCATCCTATTTCATACCAATGATAGATCCGCAGATGGAATCTTTATTTGATGTTATACGGTATATATATCATAACATAATGATATTTTTTTATTTCCGTTCATTATTTTTTTTAGTTTTTTTTTTTTTCATTCCATCCATGTTACTATGGTTATCCATAATTCAACAAAAACAATTTAATTTTCGTACCAAAAATTCCTAAAAACCTCTCATCTCCTATTTTATCTCCTTCAAGTTTAATTTCACTACAAAAAGGAGCCTAAATGTTATTTCTGTTTCATACTACATCTATATGCAAAATTTCAGCTTAATCCGTTCAGATCTTCGGGTGTAATAATTATATATGTTTTAAACATTTTCTTTAGTAATATTTGTTTAATATTGTACCTATTTTCCCGTTCTCCCGGTTTTCCTATGCGCTCCACTTCTCTACGACAATGCTATTTAATAATTCAAATGATGTTGTCAAATTTAACACTACCATTTCCGTAATTTTTATAAGCTTCAACCTTCGTATTTTACGTTTTATCCGTAGATGTATAACATATAATACATAGAGGCATAAAAATGTCATGTGGGGCTCACTATTTTATAAACATATAAACATAGTGACAGAATATTTTCGATTATCCTCACTCCGTTGGACAAACAGAGATTATACATATATTTTAACAATGGCCAACTGGTGCGTTGAATGCCCGTTTTTTTTTTTTTTTTTTTTTTTTTTTTTAATTCGAACACGACCCAGGGGAGAACCAAATCGTATTATACAATCGTGTACACTTAACATCACCGTATAAATGCGTCTTGATCTAATCGTAATTTCTTCAAACATAAAGGCACGTCTATATAGTTTTCTGTGTATCGAAACGGTTGAACGTGTTTTGTACTTCCATTAAAATTTCTTTAAAAAAAAAAATACCCCTGACCGTAATCTGAGTTCCGTGAGATTCATGACACTTCAACCTACAGACCGATTTGTAAAAAACATCTAATAAAGCCCCTCGGCAGATTGTATTACACGACCTTCGGGGAATCGGGGACGCGTTCGAAGAGCGGCTGCAACTGTGCTTACACCGACCGAATATTATCGCTACGCAATTGGACAGACAAAAAATAAAAATATCGCGCGAAGAAGACGGCCGAGAAATATTTTGTTTTCGTAGCACACATGAGTACACAGCAGCGCGGCGGTCGTTAACGAGCCTAAAAGTTTAATGTCTAAGTTGTACTAATGTTTAAGTATAAACATACTTATAATTTCAATTTTTTTTTTCGTATTTCACTTAAGTTACCGTCACTCTATTCACTCTAAAATCCTTTTTGATTTTTTGACTTTTCTTATCAATTCAAGCAATTATTATTAAGAGTACCAAAGATAAACTTGATAACCGGACTGAAAAAAAATTACTACTGATATCCGGGTACCCGATGAAATCATTGTCTCTGCTACCATTCTTCCCTAAGCGTCTTATATATATCTAATATATTACATTCTAAATGGAAAAAAAAGATGTAACTGCAATATAAATTAAAATTACGGAAATCATAAATAACTATTTTTATCAGGAGGTAGGGCAGTATTGAAATAAACAACTTAGCCTATCAGCTCTTATTTTTATTTGTCTTTAATGTATAAAACTATATCGTACTCTGACGTACTGGAAGGTCATAATGACATATTAAATGCTAAGGTGAATATTCGTCTTAAAGAAATAAAGGAATTTTTAATTAATAAAGGTGTCAATATTATATATAGAACTCTATGTTTCCACAATTTAAACGAAAGAAATATGAACTTATAGCACATGAAATATTATGCACAAGGGACCATAATACGAACTGTCGTGGTAATCATGGATACAATAGTGAACCATGCAAAAAAATCCGCGGAGACTTAGAAATTCCGGTTAGTAAACCATCGAATAATTAACTATTTATTTCATCATTTACGTTGGGTTGGTTATAATATTATAAATCATACAATTTTAAAATATTGAAGTTTTACGACTGATCGTTGAATATTCACGGTATTTTCGGCCGCATATAGCTGTTAATTATAAATTCTTTGATGACGAAACATAACTGCAAAACCTGTTGAAAATATTATATTGTTTGTTTTGTTCATGGATTGAAATGTGAAAATAAAATTAACCTCAAGGACCTAAGGGACACGTCTACGGTCAAAGCTAAGAAAATAACTCCGTCACGATACGTGAACGTAACACAAAATTTTCTATCGTAAAAATATTTTAACTGATGTACGAAATTTTATCACACATACTCGACACGCCGAAATACAGGTTACAAATATTTCTGGAAACCGCAATATTCAAGTAATCGCGTTGTATGTACAATAAACAAATCGTTTTTGTAATTGAATCAAAAACCATGACTGGCTGCCTCGTCCTATTAAATAGACAGGATTTATTTGCACTTCAAAATTTGGAATGATGTATATTCGAGACCACACCTCGGTAAACCGTTTTCGAGTAACCATCAGTATTAAAACAATTCAATCAGGTAAGTTGTTGTATAAAAGAAAAAATTACCAGAATAAGAACACCGCCATCGAAAATAAAAGAAGGACCCATAACTGTCCACGGCACAAGAAAGTATATTACGACTTATTATATTTCTATCAATACGATCCGGAAGTCGATACGATAATCAATAATTATCAGGTTAAAGCGGTACGAATGGCGATGGCGCCGAATTGTATAATTACAATCACCTCTCAGCGATGGTGAAATGAATAATACGGGCACAAAAAAAAAACCAAAACNCGTTCTTGGAACTAGGATTTGGTTTATACAAAAACCAATGTTAAACACAATGTGTGTAGTCTACTAAGAACCGTTCATCAAAGTTACGGTACCACAAACTCGAATAAAATTCGCATACTTATAATCCAGCAGAAACATACTCTTTAAACACTCCAATGCCACGAACACAATCTCGAGCATAAGAAATATAGAACGTATCAAAGGCTACGAACTCCAACATCATACATAAGACATAACAATCTATGGAATTTCTCTTAACGGATAAGCCAAAAGATTATATGTTTTTAACAGTAATTTAAAGCTGTTAATTTTTAAATTGAAAAAAATATAGCATCGTTTTGTAACTTCAAAAGTTCAAAAAGCAAGTTTATATGCATTCAGAATAAGAAATGGCATATATGTTTTACGTTTTAACTGGGGACTTATGTTTTAAAAATTATTCAATACACATGAATTANTTCATTTTCGAGGAAAATAATAATTTTTCCGATTATTTAAAAAAATTAAAACCTGAATCATTTCAACTGTAGATATCCAAACCTCTAGGGCGTTTTCTACATTGAACCATTAAAGAAAAAGGTAAAATGCGGACCAATACTGTTGCTCTACTTATGGAGAAATGAGAAACAGATTTTGGTTAAATACAACATACGTAGACTACTAAGAACCGTTCAACAAAGTTACGGTATCACAAATCCGAGTTAAAATCGCATACGTGTTATCCAGTAGAAACATACTCTTTAAACACTCCAATGCCACGAACATAATCTCGAGCTTAAAAAATATCGGACGTATCAAAAACATCGAACTCCAACATAATAAATAAGACATAACAATCTATGGAAATTGTCTGAAAAAGATTTTATGTTTTCGGTTATTTTAAGCTGTTTATTTTTAAATTGAAGAAAAATATTGCATCGTTTCGTAACTTTCAAAGTTCAAAAAGCATTATTTTTTGTCTATATGCATTCAGAATAAGAAATGGCATATATGTTTTACGTTTTAACTGGGGACTTATGTTTTAAAAATTATTCAATACACATGAATTAAATACACGTTCGAAATTATATAGTTATATACGCGCAAAATTGTACGTCAAGTTTTTAAAAGTTATAGGTTAGGAATCTATGTTTTCATAGATTACGAGAAAGTTACATGGACATATAGCACATGGAATACTATGCCCAAGAGACCATAATACGAATTATCGTGGTAATCATGGATACAATGGTGAACCATGCAAAATATTCCGATTAGAATACCATCGACTAATTAACTGTAGGTTTCAATATTTACTTTGGGTATGTTACAATATTGTAAATCATAAAAATTAAAAAGATTGAAGTTTAACGACTGATCGCAGAATATTTTCAGTAAGCTGTTACGTTTAAATTCTTAGATGACAAAACATAACTGCGAATCCCGTTGAAAATATCGTATTGTTTGTTTTGTTTTCTTTGTTCTTGGATTGAAATGTGAACATAAAATTAACCTCAAGGACCTACCGGACGTGTTTACGGTCAAAGCTAGGATAATAACTCCGTCACGATGCGTGAACGTAACACACGTTGTTTTATCGCAAATATTTTCTCTGATGTACGAAATCCTGTCAAACATACTCGACACGCCGAAATACAAGTTACAAATATTTCAGAGAACCGCAGTATTCAAGTTATCGCGTTGTATGCACAAAAAACGAAACGTTTTTGTTATTGAATCAAAAACCGTGACTGGCTTCCGCGTGTTATTAAATAGACATGATTTATTCGCATTTCAAAATTTGAAACGATGCATTTTCGAAACAATCACACGGAAAACAGTTTTCGAGTAACCATCAGTATTAAAACAATTCAATCAGGTGTGTTGTTGTATAAAAGAAAAATATACCAGAATGAGAACACCACCATCGAACATAAAAGGAGGACCCATAACTGTCCACGGCACAAGAACGTATGGTACGACTTATTATATTTCTATCAATACTATTCGGGAGACTGTAAAAACCGTTTTCATTTTCGAGGAAAATAATAATTTTTCCGATTATTTAAAAAAATTAAAACCTGAATCATTTCAACTGTAGATATCCAAACCTCTAGGGCGTTTTCTACATTGAACCATTAAAGAAAAAGTTGAAATGCGGACCAATACTGTTGCTCTACTTATGGAGAAATGAGAAACAGATTTTGGTTAAATACAACATACGTAGACTACTAAGAACCGTTCAACAAAGTTACGGTATCACAAATCCGAGTTAAAATCGCATACGTGTTATCCAGTAGAAACATACTCTTTAAACACTCCAATGCCACGAACATAATCTCGAGCTTAAAAAATATCGGACGTATCAAAAACATCGAACTCCAACATAATAAATAAGACATAACAATCTATGGAAATTGTCTGAAAAAGATTTTATGTTTTCGGTTATTTTAAGCTGTTTATTTTTAAATTGAAGAAAAATATTGCATCGTTTCGTAACTTTCAAAGTTCAAAAAGCATTATTTTTTGTCTATATGCATTCAGAATAAGAAATGGCATATATGTTTTACGTTTTAACTGGGGACTTATGTTTTAAAAATTATTCAATACACATGAATTAAATACACGTTCGAAATTATATAGTTATATACGCGCAAAATTGTACGTCAAGTTTTTAAAAGTTATAGGTTAGGAATCTATGTTTTCATAGATTACGAGAAAGTTACATGGACATATAGCACATGGAATACTATGCCCAAGAGACCATAATACGAATTATCGTGGTAATCATGGATACAATGGTGAACCATGCAAAATATTCCGATTAGAATACCATCGACTAATTAACTGTAGGTTTCAATATTTACTTTGGGTATGTTACAATATTGTAAATCATAAAAATTAAAAAGATTGAAGTTTAACGACTGATCGCAGAATATTTTCAGTAAGCTGTTACGTTTAAATTCTTAGATGACAAAACATAACTGCGAATCCCGTTGAAAATATCGTATTGTTTGTTTTGTTTTCTTTGTTCTTGGATTGAAATGTGAACATAAAATTAACCTCAAGGACCTACCGGACGTGTTTACGGTCAAAGCTAGGATAATAACTCCGTCACGATGCGTGAACGTAACACACGTTGTTTTATCGCAAATATTTTCTCTGATGTACGAAATCCTGTCAAACATACTCGACACGCCGAAATACAAGTTACAAATATTTCAGAGAACCGCAGTATTCAAGTTATCGCGTTTTATGCACAAAAAACGAAACGTTTTTGTTATTGATTCGAAACAATCACACGGAAAACAGTTTTCGAGTAACCATCAGTATTAAAACAATTCAATCAGGTGTGTTGTTGTATAAAAGAAAAATATACCAGAATGAGAACACCACCATCGAACATAAAAGGAGGACCCATAACTGTCCACGGCACAAGAACGTATGGTACGACTTATTATATTTCTATCAATACTATTCGGGAGACTGTAAAAACCGTTTTCATTTTCGAGGAAAATAATAATTTTTCCGATTATTTAAAAAAATTAAAACCTGAATCATTTCAACTGTAGATATCCAAACCTCTAGGGCGTTTTCTACATTGAACCATTAAAGAAAAAGGTAAAATGCGGACCAATACTGTTGCTCTACTTATGGAGAAATGAGAAACAGATTTTGGTTAAATACAACATACGTAGACTACTAAGAACCGTTCAACAAAGTTACGGTATCACAAATCCGAGTTAAAATCGCATACGTGTTATCCAGTAGAAACATACTCTTTAAACACTCCAATGCCACGAACATAATCTCGAGCTTAAAAAATATCGGACGTATCAAAAACATCGAACTCCAACATAATAAATAAGACATAACAATCTATGGAAATTGTCTGAAAAAGATTTTATGTTTTCGGTTATTTTAAGCTGTTTATTTTTAAATTGAAGAAAAATATTGCATCGTTTCGTAACTTTCAAAGTTCAAAAAGCATTATTTTTTGTCTATATGCATTCAGAATAAGAAATGGCATATATGTTTTACGTTTTAACTGGGGACTTATGTTTTAAAAATTATTCAATACACATGAATTAAATACACGTTCGAAATTATATAGTTATATACGCGCAAAATTGTACGTCAAGTTTTTAAAAGTTATAGGTTAGGAATCTATGTTTTCATAGATTACGAGAAAGTTACATGGACATATAGCACATGGAATACTATGCCCAAGAGACCATAATACGAATTATCGTGGTAATCATGGATACAATGGTGAACCATGCAAAATATTCCGATTAGAATACCATCGACTAATTAACTGTAGGTTTCAATATTTACTTTGGGTATGTTACAATATTGTAAATCATAAAAATTAAAAAGATTGAAGTTTAACGACTGATCGCAGAATATTTTCAGTAAGCTGTTACGTTTAAATTCTTAGATGACAAAACATAACTGCGAATCCCGTTGAAAATATCGTATTGTTTGTCTTTTTTTTTTTTTTTGGTTGAAAAGTGGAAATCAAATTTTCCTTAAGAATGACACTGGGCTTGATAACACTAATAAGCACCAGGCCACGGACGACGTGCCAGGTAGCACCGAGCGCCAGTATTGAAAATAAAAAAATGACCTACGACTATTCACGGCACTAGAAAGTATTGTACGGCTTATTATATAATTTTCAGTACAAATAAGAAGACTGTAAATACCCTTATATTTTCGAAGATAATAAAAATGTTTTCTATAAATGTGATAATTAAAACCAGAATCATTTCAACTGTGGATATCCAAACCTCTAGGTGGTTTTACACATTGAATCATTCGAGAAAAAGTAAAGTTGTAAAAATTGTATTACACATCGGATCGACTGTCGGCTTTTTCCCTGGGGGCCTTTTGTGCTTCGAATCGAAAACAAATTCAGTACAAAATAACTAAGCAATGAATGGTGATAATTTTTTTTAATGATGTGTTGTTGAATCGTAAATTCCTTTCAGAGGCAACGGCAATATTACAACATTCACACAAAAGCACCATATCCTGCAGCTGTTTATGTAATTCAAAACGGTTGTCGATAAAATAAAAGAGGGGAAAATAACGAATAACACAAGTCGATAGGCATACGTCAAAGGTTCTCAACCTTTTTTGACTCACGGGATCCTAAAATATTTTCTAAAAATGCAATAACACACTACATCATAATAACAATATGTAATGTATTTATATTTGTATTTTATAGCTTTTGCTTTCTAAGCCAGGTATAACCAAACCTATTAGACACACACATGGATCTAGGAAATATATGAAAGAGAGGGCTAAAAAGACACATTTTTAAAATGCTTATAAATGTATTGTTAAGATATAAGTTACAATTTATATTAACAACACATTTTATTGGTCTGTTGTTATATGATATAATATATTGTAATATAGATCCTATCTTTTAAGTAACTACACGTGTAAAGATAGAAACTCCAGTTCCTAAAGTATCCTTTGGGTGTCGAACCTGCGACCTACGTGAAGATACGCAGTAATTAAATCTATTTGCAAATTTGGTCAGCAAGTATAGTCATATACTGGAATGTAAGCGTAACAATGCTATTACTATCAAACAACAAATAATTGTATCAAGATAAATTGGCAGACGAATCTCAAGGATTGTATGTGTGTATAAGTAAAATAAATTTTTCTTGCAATAAAGGCTATAATGTATACATTTATAATTATATTTCCATAAATATTTAAGTCGCTTTATGTTATGTGTTAAATATTATTCTTGTGGATCCATACAATCTATAGTTTCGTTTTTTTTTTTTTTTACAGCGTTCAGTTAAAAAATTGAAAAAATCGATATTACAATTGAACAAACAAAAGAATAATAGCACGAATGGCTCAAATAACGTACCAATATTAACACCTAACAAACCCAATTTTAATTTACTTATAATTCAGGAAGCCGAACAAAGAGGAAAAAGACAACATTATCTTATTGCTCAGGACAAAATATTATTCAAGAAAGCGGTACAAGAAAAAAAAATTAGAAAAACAGTTGGCCGATTTTAAACGTTTTAATGTGATACCCCTTGTAAAGGTTAAAGAAGAAGTTTAAGAAAGTAATTTTTATAAAGATCGATGGATTGTCTTGGAACAAAACATTTAAGTTTACGTATGAATGTAAAAACTAATTTGAAAGTAAAAATAAATCAACAATTTTTTGATAAAAGAAAATTTTAATTATTTTTTTACCTATCATTAAGANTTAACGGTGGATGGGCATGTGATAAGATATTGAGAAATATATTTCTACTAAAAAAAAAGATAAAAGATACTATTATTTAAAGTTATTTATATTTTTTGAATTTGATTTAATGGATAACTAATGAAATCATCTTGTAACTGGCAATAGTTCAATAACTCTCGTTTGAATTCTTTCGGAAAATAAAATAGTAGATCGTTTTAAAATCAATTCTATAACTTAAATAGATGTTTTTATTTTAAACAATTATTTCTAATAATTAAATTATATCGACATTTTGTTATAAATAGGTAGGTACACACAATGACGACGGAAAATCATCATTATTAATTTTATAATTTTTTTTATACGCAAACAAATTTTTCTTCCACAATGAACACATTTGTTAGGTTTTTATTTCATTTACTCGCAATTATTGCCAGTGACTTACTCTGTCCTCGCTATGACACTACAGAGATTCCATATGAACTTACGAACAATTAAGTCACGCCAGAGGTTCATTAGTTTACGAATGCACATGACCTGATCAAATTTTTCTTCTCCAAAAGGAATTTTTTAAGGTGATTATTTCATTCATTCATAATTATTGCCAGTGACTTACTCTGTCCTCGCTATGACACTACAGAGATTCCATGTGAACTTACGAACAATTAAGTCACGCCAGAGGTTCATTAGTTTACGAGTGCACAAAACCTGTCCATTTTATTGTTATTATTATTGTATGTTTATTAAAATTTTTTTTTTTACTTTTTATGCCTACCTATTTAAAACTGAATATACTCTATAATTTAAATTCGATCATACTTATTTTCCAGAGTTCTTAATTTAGTAAGACTATTTACAAATATTAAACAATAACGCAATATGAGTATTGAGTTTAAAAAGCCAACTGCGAGTACAATAATGATTTCATTAAATTGTCCTCAAAATAAACAAAATGTATTTTTCTTTGGATTTCGGTTGTTAAATAAAAATGTATTCAACAGTTATATTGTATATATTAATATTCAGTTAACATATGAAATTAATAATAATAAATAATGTTGAGATAAACGACAAAAATTAGGTTATAATTAAATATAAAAACTACAAGCAGGCACTTAATAATGCGTGGCTAAGACAAATGACTGTTTCCTGTTTATTTTAATAAAATGTATGATTTATTTCCTGGAGTGGGATTTTAAAACAGCTGGTAGTAGATTGACATAGTATGATATAATAACAAATATGATGTATATATATTAGTGTTAAAAGAAAACCAGGGAAATTCCAATAATAAAGGCACCCATGGCATGGTAATGAACACATAATTATTAATGTCTATTTATTATAATATATACATACTTATAATTTCAATTTTTTTTTCCCCATATTTCACTTTAGTTACCGTCACTGTATTCACTCTAAAATCCTTTTCGATTTTTTGACTTTTCATATCAATTCAAGCAATTATTATTAACTGTAGTTAAGATACACATGATAACCGGGCTGTAAAAGAAATACTACTGATATCCGAGTACCCGATTAAATCATTGTCTCTGCTACCATTCTCTCCTAAGCGACTTAAATATATTACATTGTAGGTATACATTAAAATTACGGAAATGAAAAATAACTATTTTTATCAGGAGGTAGGGCAGTATTGAAAAAAACTAGTAAGCGTATAACCTCTTATTTTTATTTGTATTCGATTCATAAAACTATGTCGTACTCTGACGTACTGGAAGGTCATAATGACATATTAAACGCTAAGGTGAAAATTATTTTCGAAGAAATAGAGGAATTTTTAATAAATGGAGGCGTCAATATTTTATATAAAATATATAGCAATAAAAAATTGTAAAAAATATTTTAGGTTTTTATTTTTATTTTTTTTGTTTTTGTACTCAGTTAAACTATTCAATCGAATTACAAAATATATCGTTAAGTGATTGTTGTAAAAAATTATAAATTTTCAAATCAAAGTGAAAATTAAACCCTGAATCATTTCAACTATGGATATCCAAACCTCTAGGACGTTTTCCAAATTGAATCATTCGGGAAAAAGGTAAAGTGCGGACCAATTCTGTTGGTCACCTTATGGGGAAATGAAAACCTTCAGGGAAGGGAAAACGACTAATTGTGTTACACATCGGGACATCTGACGGATTCCTCCCCTTATGTTTGTTTATTGGAAAACAAAATAGCATCGTTTTGAAACTGCAAAAGTTCAAATAACTTTATTTCTAGTTTATATGCATTCAGAACAAAAAATGACATATGTGTTTTCCGTTTTAACTGGGGACTAATATTTTAAAAATTATTCATAATAACTGAATTAATTTCACGTTCGACATTATATAGGTATACAAGCACAAATTGTACATCAAATTTAAAAAAGATTTAAGGTAGAACTCTATGTTATCACAGTCTAAACGAAAGAAACATGTACTTTTAGCATATCAAATATTATGCACAAAGGACTGTAATACGAATTATCGTGAGAATCATGGATACAATGGTGAACCATGCAAAAAAATCCGCGGAGACTATGAAATTCCGATTATTAAACCATCGAATAATTAATTAAAGTTAATTAATTAATTAAAGTTGTTTTGTTTAGATCAATAAATTATTTATTGTGTAGAATAAAGTAAATACGATAAATAACTAGTAGTTGATATTTTAAAAATATCATTGATCTTTAAACTAATTATTTTATTCAATAATTGATCGAGGTTTTTTTTTTGAAACGATCGTTATTTTTCGTTTAGTATTTACGAACAGTTTTGTTACTTACGTGCAGAAGGATGCTTGAGCAACTGCGGCTCGAAAAATGTCCGGACCCGCTAGCGGAAGATTCGAAACGCAGCCGCATGAGAAAACGTTTTAATTTTAAACTGAGAAAAATAATAATGTGCGAAAAACGTAATTGAAAAAAAATAATTGTTTGGAACAGTGAACGGTGAACGACGATGAACAGTCCTAGAGGGACGTCGGCATACAAAAGAATAACGCACCGACGTGTGACGGACCGCATAACCAACAGCTCGCACGCGCGCCACCATCGCGTTTCAGTAACGTGGGCGTTTGTCATTGGTCCGTACATACCTCTCCACCCAAGCAATCCGACAACGTTAATACCGAGTTTTTTTTTAACGTTCCGGCTGGCCCGCCCGCCATCCACCGACCGAATACCGATACCTAACTATAGCAAATTATTACAATATTATTATAGATAGTTGATATTATTTTCCCCGATTTAACGGTCATGTAACTACGATTCGTAATGTATGATATTATGCGGCTAGGGTAGAAAATTACACTATAATATTTTATTAGATTCAGATTAAAATATAATAATATGATAACCGTACTGAATTTAAAAATCAAAAATACGATTTGTTTCGTAATTTGTCTCTGCGCAGTGGCGCCCAAACTATATTTTATTGTGTAGCAGAATTTAAAATTTAAAATCATCGCCCGCCTCAAAAACTTTTAGTTTGGGTGCCACTTGTTGCCATACACACAAAGTTGTTTCTTGGACGTGTATTGTAATATATCACAAAACGCACCTCGAAACCTTCAGTTATTGACTTTATCAACTGAACGGCCAAGGGAATGCCATGTTCTCGTTTTAGTTAACCTAACCTTTTTAAGCTAAATGATCGCGATAATTTCTGACGTTTGGTTAATACGGGTAGTTTTAGATATTCACTATACGCATTGATATCAAAAAAACACATCACAAAAATTACACACTAGAGTCATAATAGTTAATCTAACGTTCCAAAATATAACACGATATTTCATTTGAATGAAGACTGGGCTAGTTCTCCGGATAATAGTAATTTTCGCAATAATATTTCGATTGTCTTTTTCCGATTGTGTTTTTCTATAAAACAAAATCTATAATTTAATCTATAATTGTATAATAATATTGAGAGAATATTATTTATTATAATTATTGTGTTAATAATTCATCATTAGTAATATACCATAGAAATCTAGCCACGGCACACGATGGTGGCATGCGTAGCAGCCGGCGACCGTGTATTACAATACATTTTCAATGATTCAGCATACCTATTGTGAAAACGAAATAATATTCTGAAAATAATATAATATAAAACCACGCGGTATTATAATTCGTCTCGACTCGAGCATATCATTTAGGTACCCATAGGCGTGCGCAAATCTTTTATACAGGTACTTACGGCATTTTTTCTTATAGGTACTCAGTTTAGGTAAAGGTTATTTTGTGGCAATACTACACAGTTAAAGTAAACAATTTTACATTTTATTGGAAATTTTACACCATATCACAATAATAAATTCAATCGATTTTAACAAAGACACTGTGCAATTACTTATGTATAATACAATAAACCTATTTTATACATACACATGAATAGTACAAAATGGTTTGTGCTATTTGTAGTCTTATTATTGTTAAATATGAGAACTTATATTGTATAATTTTTGTATAAATATCAAAGTCAGACGCGTACCCAGAATTCTATTTTCGGGAGAGCTGTTTAAAATGTATATAAATCGTAATACAGTAAAACAAAAATATAATTATATTATTTAAGAATAAAAGTATGGTACAATAGAACCTCGATAAATTCGAGAAAAACGTAATTTTGTCGTATTATCGAGGTTTTCGATTTACTAAAGTTTTCAAGGTTTTAGAAAAAAAATTTGACATACTACTCTATAATTCACAAAATATTAGTTTACAAGGTGTAGCAAAAATTAAAAGCAAAAGTAAACAAATTATCTCTTTAGATATGTACGAAAATGTACGTATCTAAAGAAAATGTACGAAGTATATTATTAAAAATTACAATTTTCTTTTCTTGTAAACAACTTTTCTACTAGCAATTATTCGTCTACTTATAATGATAGCAATGTCTCTTAATGAAAATTTCACTACGGAGGTACTTTAAAAAGGAAATTTTTTGATTTTCTCAGGAGTTTTCATTATTGTTATTATTATTATTATAGTCCGAACCCGATGTTAAATGCTATGTTATTTTTCTCCCCGATTCAACTGTAATCCGGGCCCGGGCACGTTTTCGGTCGGTATAAGGGACGAGTCACTGCCCGCTCCGCAGGGAGCGTACGCAGAAATCGATTTCCCCTCCCTCCACCACCGTCCGTATTCGAACCCGACGCTGTCTTTATAGAAACGTCCGATTCTTCTCGAAAATCGTAAAGTATATTAACATTCGCGGCGACGGGACAAGAGAATAATGTAAGACGTTTACAATAATAATAAAATAATAGTGCCGGTCCAGTCTTCCGTTAAGCCGCAAAATACTGCATACAGTCGCACGTATTCAGTTTATTTCTTTGTATAAAGGCCAAAAACCGATTTATTTTTTTCCCTCTTTCCGTTAGTGTAGGCGGGTCGTTTTTGAATCGTTTGATCCGTGTATAATATATTATAGGTACCTACCACTTTATATAACAACAATGTGAAACGAAATAAATGCATATTATACATAATGCGTTTTCACGATTTTCAGACCGTTAGCTATCAAATTAAATAACCACCTACGGATGGACGAATGTAAATTTTAAAATTTTTGTCGAACGATTGCAATTTTGATTATTCGATGATTATTAATCGGACGTGATGATGACAATTATATAATATTTTTGAACTACATTTATGATGAAACATGTTTCTACGCGATAATCAGGCACGTATACGGGGGGGAATTGAACCCCCCCCCCAACACCTTCTAAAATTAATGGTTGTTTAATTTATGTATAACATAATAATTTCACAACTTTTCTACAAGTAATAACGCTCCAATTTATAATAATGGCACTATGTCTAAAAGGAAATTTGACTGAGGAGGTACTTTAGAGAGGTGTTTTTATCGATTTTCCCAGGAGTATTTTCAACAATTGTGAAAAACCAAAAAAAAAATATTATTTATTTAAAAATTATTATTTTCAGTTTTATTTTAGATTCTTAGTGGAGCAAGGAATGTATAGGTTTGACAATGATGTTTTTTTTTTTTTTTTATATGTAAACTACTTTTCTACCAGAAATATTGTTCGGATTTACAAGTGTAAAACTTTTTCTGAAAAGAAATCTGACAGGAGGGATACTTTAAGAAGGTAATTTTTTGAATTTCCCAGCTATTTTAATAATTAATAGACAAAACATAAAAATAAATACAAGAAAAACAAATGTGTTATTAAAGAAAATGCATTTGTATTTATTTTACTATAATATGATATATATATTTTTGACTAACTGAACTCCGCTTAGAATCATTTTTGGTTAACAATAGTTAATCGTTGCTAACTGATATACATTAAATTGTCTATAAAAGTTTCAGCACCCGTCCCCATCATCATATTTATAATGTCATTGTCAGATATTGAATTAAAACCATGTGTCACGAACAGATGTAGGTTTACCTAATATAATGGCTGTAAAAGATGATCTAAAACGAATAAATATAATTTAGTATATAACCAGTGAACGTGTACTTATTTTAAAAGTAATAAACATAAAACTACAACAAGTATAATTTAGAATAACATATGACACTAGTTTTGGAAATTCCAAACACTTTACAAATAACAAAATATACATATAGCGATATATGATACTGAAATTATTGAAATCATTGGACCAAATTATTTTTCAAACAATACAACACTGTCAATATCAATGTCTGCGACCGATGATCAATACCATGACTATGAATCGGATTCTGAAAAAGAATAGTCTACTTAGGAACATTTAGATTGTAAAGTTTGTAATAACTGTTTAAGATCTGCTTATTTTAGAGCTATATATCCTCTGTTTCCTAATAATAATTCTACTTAGATTTTCTATACATAATTCACAAAAAGGAATTTTTTTGTATAAAGAAAGGTAAAGTTTGTGTAACAAAGAATATATTGGTTGTACTAAGATGTTTATTTTTTTTATTTTTTTTTATCCTGTATGAAAAAATTCGACAATAAATCTTGCTCAGATATATACGCGCGGTACCATTTCTGAAAGGGAATGTTGTCCAGATAATACTTTTGGGAGGTCATTTTTTTAACTTCCAAGCAGTTTCCATAATATCTGAGAAAAGACAAGATAAAACATAAGACAAATAGGAAATTTACGAAATTAAAGCTTTCATTATTTTGTCAATTGTGTTAGTTGTTAGAATTCAGTTAAAAATATTCATAGAACATAAGATTCAGACAAAAACTTATATTTGCCTTTTCTAGACATATTAAAATTTTCAAAAATGTCATCCATTTTTGAACTATTTATGGACATTTTAATTTTACAAGATTTTACGTAATTTTTATTCAATAGGTAGGTACTCTGAAGTAAAATTATTAGACTTAACAAAAATGCTTGAAATTTAACACGGGGGTCTATAAATCTTACTTTGTAGTCAAAAACAAAAATTGAATTTAATATAATATTTGTTTTTATGAAGTAATTTTGATACTACATTTTGACAAAAATTATTTAAGTAAAAAATTATTCGTTTGTAGTAGTCCAATGGTCACGAATAAGAAACTGTTTGCCCTTTTTTCCCTTTTACCTAAATAGGGAAAAACAAATGAATTTTAAGTATACCTAGGGACCTAGCTATCGCTCCCTCTAACGATTTTAATCAAAAAATACTCCTCTATTTGTTGTACAAACTTTTCGACCGGAAGTCTTGCTCCCAAGTATCAAGTATAGCCTATTTTCTGAAAGAAAATTTTCTCTTCATGGTTTAAAGAGGTCATTTTAGTAATTTTTCAATTGGTTTTCATAAAAACTGAGAAAAACTGAGTAAAATGTCGGAAAAACGGGAAAATGTTCGAAAAACGGGAAAATGTACGAAATGTAGGTATTATTAAAAAAATATTAAGGCATTTTTTTTTCTGTGTACAGCTTTTCTACCAGCAATTTTACTCCGATTTACAAATGAGCATTTTTTCTGAAAGTAAATCTGACTGGTAAGGTACTTTAGTGAGGTAATTTTTCGATTTTTCCATGAGTTTCCTAAGCAAATGTGATAACTTGGGAAAAACATGGGAAATCCGGGAAAGATGGGAAAATCGATACAAT